TCCGCTGGGCTGCTTGTGCAGAGCTGGAAGGGAGACTTAATTTACTCTGCCTCTCTCAACGTGTTCAATTTAGCAGGACCTGGAGTCGCCTGCTCCTCTCCAGTGGGAATGCTTCTTCTAGAAAAATCTGAACTTGTCATCTCACAGAGCACTCGGTGCCAAGTTATGAATGAAATTACTGAAGATAAACACTCCATGAGTTTCTTCTCCTCTTTAGACGGGGTTTGTTCTTTTCTCGGAGCCTTTACTGCTGTGTAAGAACAAGGTGCATCCAGYACTTCTTTCACTGTACCCCAAGCAGCACATAAGGAATTGTGTCTCCAAGCATCCTCACCCCTGCAGGTGATGGGCCAGTGCCATCACGAGAGCCCAGACAGTTGTGCCTCTGGACATCAAAGGACAAAGTATCCTGAATGAAAGGAATGGGTTTTGCTAAGATCCTGTGAAAACAGCCCTGGCAGAGGAAGGTGCTGAAGCCAGGCCCCAGGGCAGTGGTGAGGATGCAGCACTCTGCCCAGCCTGCGGGCTCGCATCAAACAGGGGTGCAGGGGGCCGTGTATAGGCACTGCTTTCTTGCTAGTGATCCAGATCTGGAAAACATCTTCCTTTTTTCTTTTTTCCCCACACCAAAAGAAGCAAACAACTCAGGAATGAGTTTGTCATTTAATCAGGTGAGTTCAATATAGAACTAGAAACAATTTTTCTTACTGCAGCATCACATTTGAATAGATTCTTAGTGGTGATTTTCTGTTTTCTTAAGGTTTGACAAACTATTGGGTTTATTAATGTCATATTAAAGGTTTACAGTTCCCTCCTACTGTATGATTTCAGATTACCACCRCAGACTAGGCGTACAGTAAAAAATGTTTCCTATAACACCACTATAATTCAGATATACTTCTTCCACCCCACTGCACTTACTAGCAGATTGGGGGTTCAGAAAGACAGCCTGGAAAAAGGATGGATTGCCAAAGAGCTCATGGCCCCAGTTCTGATCTCAGGAAAAATGGSGATAACTCTAGTTGACACAGATTCACTGCTATAAAAGTCAAGGTGGTAGCAGTTTCTATAAAGAAATAAGGAAGTTTGACAAGGAAAAAAAAATGTTGATACCGATATACTGAAAAATACAGGATCATGGTAAATTTGGTCAGCATGACCCTAGATTTGTATCCATTCAGCATTAGAGTTGGATCAGGAACTGAATTGCTTCTGTATCCTTGTCTTATTGGAGAGGCTTAATCCCCAGGCTATCAACTTGTTTCTGTTCTCTCACTGGCCCAATGAATATTTAATTATTCTTACAAAGCAGAACAGCTTCAGCAGGACAGATTCTCATCCCAGAATGTGCTGGCGGTTGGGCACTCTCAGAGGAGTTCAGAGACCCAAATTCAAATCCCCGTGCAATCAGTCAAAGAGGGGATTTCAATCTTAGTTTTACACATTCCACTTGGCAAGTAATTCCCAAGCCCCATTGCCACCCTGAGCCCATTTGCCATCCAGCCCTGTGTTCCCCCATTTTCTATAATGTTTTAAAATCATTTTAAATCACACAATTAAAGTGAACCACTTTTACAACTTTTCTCAATTTCTTAAATTCATTGGGAAATCCAGACAATTTAATTTTTTTTAACCTTTTCTGTTGCCAGAGGGCTAGTGAGAAGATTTCTTTGCAAGGTCCTACCTGGTTCGGAGCAAGGTGAGAAGCCCTGATCTAAGTATCCTCAGCCCTTCCCATGGAAGTAGTTGAAGTTCACTCTCACAGCTGTTGCCAAAGCAGCAGCACCCTTGAAACCACTGCCTTCCATGCTGGCATCTGTTGAGAAATAGACAGTTTATAGCTAGAGAAAGCAGGAAGGCAGGTTAGACAGAGAAAAAATGAATCACATACATAAATCTGTCTTTAAATGTAGCACACACATATATAATTATTAATTCATCCCTCTCTATTATCTTCAAACCCAGCAATACACAGATTTCCTCCAGGCCCTGCTCTGTAAGTACAACTCTGCTCCACAGAGTTTTCCAACGTGTGCCTAAATGCTTTGCTGCTCTATTGTCACAACACATCATTTGTGCATCTCCTCCAGATATATAAAATGGAGTTTATGTGGTCCCGCAGCCACTCTTGAGCAAAGAAAGCCCCATAACCCTGCTGGGCCCCCCAGGGAAATGCAGAGTTCACCCATTCAGGCTCTCTTCCCCACACCAGAACTTAAACTCGTATTGTCATTAAAATAAATACATTCCAAGAGTGCTAATAACAAGGGAAGACTTCACAGGCTTTATTGAAATATTTAAGGCAAATGACACCAGCCTGTGTGCTAATTTAATAAAAATACATTTAATAATTTAATTTAATTATGGTAATTTAAGAACGCAATAAAAATATATTTTGAATCTCTTATCAATCTTGTTCCCTCACAGATGCCTTTCCTTTTTATTCTGGGGAGTTTTAATAAAAGCACAAAGCCAAGACTGCCAGAGTGCAGAGCTGTTCTCTCCGGGAGAGAACCAAGAGCCCTCCTGCAGCTCCGAATGACGTCCATGTCTCATCAGGTCGCTGGGACAATTTGGATGCCGGATTCTCTGCTTGTAACCCCTTTTGGGAATGTCATTGTTCTATATTATGCATGACACAGATCCTATACTATACACAACGCAGCTGCTGGTGAGAGGGARCCAGCCCTGAGATGAAGAGGAGCCCCACGAGCTCAGCATGGCTTGTCTGAAAATGGGATTTGCTGGTGGAGGCACCCGCCACTTCCTCCATCAGATTTCCCATCCCAGCCCCACGAGGCTGACACGGAGGCATGGAGCCCCGATCTGAGGGGATACGGTGGTCCCTGCCCCTCCACTCACTGCCATGGCTCTCCTCAGAGACACTAGTGCTGCTATCAATGTGTTCCCTTTTCCGGGGAAAACTGATACACTCACTTTTCATGCCAGCTAATTCAAGATGTTGATTTCATTTTGCTCTGCTCTCTTCTGCCACGTACATGCACGGTGAACGTCATTTTTAAAGTTTGATGACTTTCAGGAAGATACTATTCATAACAATAGTGACATCTGAGATACTCCCACCCTGGCAGCATTGTAGGAAACTGATTGGCCTTTCTCTGGAAAATGCAGGCAGGACTACCAGCATCTCTATAGTTATAGATTTATTTGCATTCAATAGTTAGAGCAAAACCCTATACATTTCTAAATATAGACAATTATTTTGAAAGTGTTTCAAAATCAGTTTGCAATTACAAGCTACATARAAATGGCAMAGTTTTGTAAAGGCAAAAATACAAACTTCATTAAAGGGATGCTAGACAAGGACTATGGGAGTTAGGCACCCAACAAATCAAGCCTRCTTTGAGAAGGCCAGCCTCAGTAAGGATTTAAACTTCCTAAAATCAAAAATATGAATGTCTTCAACACATAAAAAGGGTGAGAGGGTGATCACACATTACAGGCAGCAGAGGGAAGATCAGCATAATTGTAGAGCAGCCAGTAAGAGTCAACCTTAAATTRAAGAATATATCATATGTATAGACCTAATTAAGAGATGCCACAAAATGTCTAAGAAATGTGGCAAAATGCTCATGCCCCAGAAAAAGCCATACTGCCCAATCTGATCAGAGGGTGCAGCTAAAAAGACCATGCAAAATGGGAATTGAGCAGTRCCAAGACCTGGTGCCCAAGGCACCTCTACCCTCACCAGCCCTCAGCACGGCAGGAGCTGCTCTGGCTGAGGTTTGACAGGGATGGGCAAACACCTGAGCTCTCTGCATGTGCAAGGGAATACAGGCATATGCAGGAAACTATTAAAGGACTGGATTATTTCTTAAAAGAGATMATGTTTTCAAAGCACACAGCACAATGCAATCATTCAGCAGAGAGTCAAATGTCACAGTGGATACAGCTGCAAGACAGTGTCACTCTTTATTTACAGTAAAATATGTCAAATAGGGAACACAAAGGCATCRTCGGGATAAACATGGGACCGGAGCACACAAAGGCGGGCGGCATCCACAGCGCATCAGACAACCTGAATAAAAGCCCCGACTACAATACCAGCCCAGTTTCTATGGTGCTCTTGAGTTAAAGGCTCCAAACAGTTTAAATAACTGGCATCCCACTTTTTAGTCATAGTGAGGACTGACATAGCCTAAAATTTGGACTACAGAACAGCAGAAACCAGAGGTGCTCCAGAGAAAGGATGTGCACAGAAAGGAACAGCTTCACTTGAAGAATCAGTGGTGTGTCTGCAGGCAGCATCCAGCCGGAGCGCCTGAGTTCACACTTTGGGAAGTTACAGTGAAAAGGGACTGAGATGTTATCCAAGGGCACTGAAAAACAAAGGGAATGTTTCATTGTGAAACACATTTTAATATGCACAGGACTAGGAGCCTGTTTCATGTGCACATGCCATGTACACCAATATTAGTATTCATACATCTCWAATAAACATAGTGATTTTTAATTCTTTTTCACTTGTGCATGGCTTTGCTTCTCTCAATCATTTTATTTTAGTTAAGATACGATAGTCTGAAATCAAGATCGAGCAGTGGTGCAGTTAGTGACATTTTTGGAAAAATACTATTGTATACTGGAGCTGACTTTAGSTCAAATATCACAAAATACCCATCTATAGATGAATCACATACACACTTCATCCACAATTATAGTAAAAGTTGTTACTGATAATAGTGTAATTACACAGATCATGAAATATCCTACAAATACAAGCAGGAATTCCATAGCTGACCAAGCAAAGTATTCATTTTGGCCTCTGTTCCAATTAGGTGTGGGAGTCAGGCAGAGGATCTGCACTTCATGACAAAATCACCTTTAGCACAAAGAATTTTCCAGGCTCTGCATCCACCTTTTGAATACTCCTGTAATGATAACTTAGAGCATTATAAGGTTAGTTAATAACTTACAGTGTTTAGTATAAGAAAATATCATGTTGCCATATTTTTATCACAGCTCAGGGAAAGTCTGTCCCAGTGATCCACATATTCTGTGTGCTTTTCATTCCCTTAGTTATGGGTCTGTACCGCTGCGCAAAGGACATGAAGAATAAAAAATRCATTCTTCATTTGAATTAGTTAAAAGTGGGTGAAGCCCTGGTGTAGGAAGGTGCTTGGTGACTCAAGGGTGAGCTGGCCAGTGCAAATATGTCACAGGCTCTCCTKCTGCTGGTTTCAGCACGGGCTTCTGTCCCTCACCCTTTCCTTGATGTCAGCTCAGCTCTGCAAGCTCCGACAAGGCATTTCTGCAATGAGGATGGGTCACTGCATCCCTTTCCCCATGAGAGCAGTTCACTGTGCCCACTGAGACCCTTTCTTACCAGGGTTGTGATCAAAGAGCTCATTCACTTTACCGGGCTTTGTTACTCGGGTGGAGGTYCCCCTTGTACTCAACAGGCGTCTTCACTGCTCTCTGACCAGCAGCGGTGGCAAAAACCACGATATAGGATTTATAATTTTGTTCACATCTTTGCCAGCATTGCTGACTAGGATAATGTTGAGATACGGAGACCCAAAGTCAGCTGGAGTGACAAGTGAAAAAGCCGGAGGAGAGGAGAGGCACAGCAAGGGCAGCAGCAGGAGCTCAGCAAGGGGCTCCAGGAGCTCCAGGGCAAAGCAGGGCAGCAGCCTTCAAAGCTGCTCCTTCTCCACCGCTACAAAGCCATTCAAATGCACTCTYGAAGTTGAATGCTGTGTACTTTTACATAACTGAAGGAGAACAAATACCCCATTAGCAGATAATTAGCACTTGGACTGTGAGTACTTATTTAAGTATGGATCGAACCTCCAGCATTAGGAGTGATTCATGTCCCCCATATATTCAGGCATCCTTGTTTCTTTTTATGATTATAAATTTCTGTGTCACATGTCATGTTTATGAGATGTTCAGTATTGTTCTCCAGAGACAGAAGATTTTTCTAYCTAGAGAAAAGGTTTAGCAATATTAATAACTAATAGTGGGCACATCACTTTTCCTTCCACCTTACAGCCAGAAAGTCCCATTCACACTAGCCCGGMATCATCTTTCGAAGTGGGTGGTGGATTTTCTCAGCTGTTAAGTCCCAGTCCCAGCAGGGGTTAGGAAGTGCTGTGAGGCCTCGGGGCAAACGCACCCCGGGAACTGGACCTGGCAGCACCCAYACCATGGAAACTCTCAAAATGTGGTTGCAAAGACTGCCAAACACAATCAGGCAGCTGTTGTCTGGACCAGCTCCTATCAGGAGTCACAGAGCAACCTGTCGCCAGGGTCCAGACTCTTACAAGAATTTCRCAGCTTGTCTAAAAATTTCTACATTTCAAAAAGCTTCCACTCTACTGGTATTTTCCCCCCCAAAAAAGTGAGATGCGACCTCTTCCCACCTCTTTCCTCATAAACCAAACAAAAATAATCTTTCTTGAGCACATGTCCAATCCTGCCAGCATCAGCCAGCCATCTACTACTGCTGCTGTGTCTTAAAAAACTGTGCACCAAATAAAGATGTTGACCCTTTGCACCAAAACCTTCTCACCCTCGARATTGTCTCTGCCATGAAAACCATCACTGGCAGCTTTGGCAAGTAGGGGTGAGAAGCCAGTGCTCACAATTGCAGTGTAATGTGTCCCAGCTCAGCCTGTCCCTGCCTGACATCCCTTTCCCGGGAGATGCTGCCTCTCTATCCTCGGAGCTGCTCACAGGCCCAGGAAAGCAAAGTCCAAACAGCAGCTTCACATTAAACCAAGCATCTTGAAGACAGGCAGCCGAATGTCTGCTGTCACCTCCTCTYGCAGCTCCTTCCCACTGAACCGAAGAAAAGAAAATGGAAACACAAATCAAGTCCCATTCTACAAAATTAATAGTTTCCACTTGCTTCTTTTCTGTTCTGTTTTCATTCTGTAATTACGAAAAAAGACACAACGTACTGCATGGTGCTATTGATTAGCAAATCCAACAGCTGCACAGRCAGACCCGCAGGCAGTTTTGAAAGAGGCATTTTAAAGAAAGTTTGTTCCTTAATATGAAGATATTTATCCCTCTTCTGATTTGGTGTGATGGTTGAGCTTGTGGTGGGGAGCAGGTGGCAGTGTGAGAACATGCAGTTTTTATTCTTGTAAAGAACTTCACAAGAAAGTTATCTCTTCGCTATTGAATAGAAAATTATTGAATAGAAAATTATCTCGTTGCTATTGAATTAGGATGAGAAAAACCCAGGGAAAATATCTCATTCTCTATTAAATTCGGTAAGATTTGTCAAGTAGCTTCTATAGAATCTGCGTTGATTTCTTCAGATCTCTCTCAGTTTCATCTCTCCAGAGGGTTTTGGAAGGGTCACAGAATATTTCCTCGCTATCAGCCAACTGATGTCCTGTTTAAATCCTATGATTGACAGTGTTTATTTTTCTCTTATTAGGACTCCTTTCGTAGATAGAAAGGAATAAGTCTTATCAGTGATAAAGCTTACAGTCAGCTGGGCAAAAGAGGAGACACCATAGGGTTTAAAGAGAACTGGATTTGTTTACATTTATTTTCAGGGTTTTATTTTTAAATCCTAAAGCACATTTTTAAATGCATCAGTGCAAATTCTTAAAATACATATAACAATACCAACTTTAAATATTGCCCTGCTGTTTATTTGGTTGTCTTGCTACGTTGCTCAATATTATTGTTGTGTCCTCCAATCAGGCACCGAATGCCCAGGGGCCCAGTACATGGAATTTCCCAGAGGCGGGCACAAACATCAACGAGGGCAGCAGATTAAAAACTCCCACTCCTGAAAAAGCTTGCACACTTCTCTGGGCAATCACCACTGCTGTCTGGAGGACCAGACTCCCGGGAAATGCCGGCTGGCTCTGGGCTCTCCCGGCTCGGCACAGCACCGCAGCACCGGGGCAGTTCGGACATCGCCGGGCAGCTGCCGGGCACAGTGGGCACCGCGAGGCCGCACAGAGGCGGCTGCAGGGCTGAGTGTTCGTGCCCGCAGATCCCGGCTGATCCCAAAGYGATGGCCATCCTCGGGAGCCATATCCACTCGGGGAACAAACAACATGATGCCAGGTCCCGCCGTGTCTTCTCGAGAGGGGAAAAAACACACCTCCGCGTAGCCACGCCGTGAGAACGGAGCCCGGTGCACCATTTGGYAGCCCGCAGCTCTGTGCCGTGTCCAGCCTCGGGCGAGCAGCTCGGAGGAGCTGACGGCGGCACAGCCGGGGCGCGGGGSCACGCTGAGAGCAGCTGGACAGGCCACGAATTCCTGCCGGCGGCCAGCCCGGCGGGGCATAGCAACGGGAGCCGGGGGAGGAACGGGAAGCAGCGGGAGCTGTGAGAAAGCGAGCGGCGCCGCGGGGCGAGGCAGGGGCCGGAGCGGGGGCGCGGAGGAGGAGGAGGAGGAGGAGGCAGGGGCGGCCAGGCCGGGGTGCGCGGCGGCGGCTCGGGCTCCCCGGCCGGGCACGGCTCCTCTCCGGGGCAGTCGTACGCCACCCAAAGCCGCCGGTTTGCGGCCGCTCCGGTTCGTGCCAGCCCGGCCCGGGCTCGGGCCCCGAGAGCCCGCCGCGATGAGCACCACGCTGCCGCCAGCCCSGCAGCGGGGGTCGGGGCCCTGCTGCCTGCCCCCGCCGCTGCCAGCCCCGGGGCACACACCGAGTGCCCCCCGCCAGGGCTGGCTCCTCGCCTCTCAGCGCCGCTGTCTCKGCCGAGGCTGCGGAACGGCACCGCTCCCCGGGGCGCGGGCGGCTTTTCAAGTGCGGTGGCCCCGGGGTGGCCCCGCCGCTCGGTGCAGCCGTGGCTGCTCCGCACAGGGTCCAGCTCCCGAGGGAACCCAGCCTCGCCGGGGGCAGGCATTGCGCAGCCACTAGATTTCCTGTCAGAAGGGATGTTTTACTGCACAAGTTTGTTCTTCTGCATGAAGAAAATGTTAATCAAAATGCAGAGGAGACACAATAGCTGTAGAGATAGATTAAATATCTAGTTACTCTGCAATAAATAATTAATAAAGTTAATCTATTTCCCCATAYTCTGGTCAAGTCATACCGTTACAACCAATCGATAGCAATAAGACATAACGTTTGTATGAGCCTTCCCTTTGCAGTGTGACCATTAATAACCAACAACTGAGCACTCTCGATATCACAGGCCAGCAAAAATTTCAGGAGTTTCAATTATATCAGTGATACTGTTTCTAGTTTGTGAAATGCACCTGAAGTGTCCAGCATATCTAACAGGCATTTAGGCTGAGGTTTCCAAATGAATTTAGGGAAGTTAAATGACAAGGTCCTGTTGACTTTCAGTGGAAATTAATTCCCAGCAAGTTCAGGGAAATATTAGCCTTCACATTTTGAAAGTTTCACATAGCTTGTGCCAAGTTTTTAACACTTTCCTAATTTTAACTGGGATCAGAGAACAGGGTCGTATCCTATATAAGAAAGGGGRAAAAAAGACAACCTGCAGAAGATTGCTA